TGGTATGTGCGTACCTTACAATGTCCACATGCCTGTCAGACAGTTTTCACTTGACCTCAACCTCATTTCATGGATCAGTGAACAAGGTTAAGTTTTCGTGGTCAAGTCCATATCTGAGATAGTATAAGCAATAGGTCTGCTATATTTGGTGTATGTAATGATTGTAAGGTGTACATGTCCAACTGGCAGGTGTCATCTGACCTTGACCTCATTTTCATGGTTCAGTGGTCATAGTCTAGTTTTTTTGTTTTGGTCTGTTTTTCTAATACTGTATGCAACTGTGTTGGTGTATGGAAATATTTTATGATGTACATGTCAGTCTGGCAGGTTTTATTTGACCTTGACCTCATTTTCACGGTTCGTTGCTAAATATTAAGTTTTTGTGTTTTGGTCTGTTTTTATAATACTGTATGCAGTAGGTCAACTATATTTGGTGTATGGAAATATTTAATTATGTGCATGTCAGTCTGGCAGGTTTTATTTGACCTTGACCTCATTTTCATGGTTCATTGCTTATGTTAAGTTATTGTGTTTTTGTCTGTTTTTCTTAAACTTTAAGCAATAGGTCAACTATATTTGGTGTATGGAATGATTGTAAGGTGTATATATTTGTCTGGAAGGTATCATCTGACCTCGCCTCATTTTCATGGTTCATTGGTCAGTATAGAATTTTCATGGTTTGGTCTGTTTCTTTTATACTATAAGCAATAGGTCATCTATATTCTGTGTATGGAGGGATTGTATTAAAGGTGTACATGTATTTCCGGCTTGGTTTATCTGACCTTGACCTCATTTTCTTGGATCATAAATGTGAATGTGATACTTTTGGTAAAACTTTATATGTAGGACTATCAACATAAAATCAATGGTCAGTATAGTAGGCGAGACATTTCAGCGTGTGCACTCTTGTTCATATTTTCCATTGATGTTATCTGCCAAACTGGGCACGCATATTCAATGATAGATCTTACCATGCTGTTATAGATTTGAAGTAGTTTTGTTCATGAGATTTTCTCTAGGCCCTTTATTTCTCGTATAACATTTAATGCAGTGTAGCTGTCTTCTGCACTATATCCGTGTGTATGTAAAATTTGATTTTTTCATCCAACGTTACGCCAAGTAGTTTAGGTGTAGGACTGTATTTGAATTTAAACGTGTTGACAGTCAGAGTTTTTTGTGTTATATCTAGATCTTCTTTAGAGAAAAAACATACTTCACATCCCATGTTGACATTGATCCTCCATTGTTCAGTCCATTTTAAGACTGTTAACGTCTCTTGATGTTTTTACTTTTAGTTCTTACACGTCTTGTACCTTGTGCCACAATGTGCTACGTCAACAAATTTGCATTTTTGTCCTTGGGTGATATCCATAATGCCTGCTATAAAAATGTTGAAGAGGGTAGGTGATAGAACTGACCCTTGTGGTAAGCCAATTTTTGTTTCAAATTTATTCCCAAAGAAATTGTTCAACATGCATCTGGCTGTTCTATTGGTGAGGAAGTTATTTATCCATATCCGGATTTTTGTCGAGCCTGCGACTTTTGTCGCAGAAAGCTCGACATAGGGATAGTGATCCGGCGGCGGCGGCGGCGGCGTTAGCTAACTTCTTAAAAGCTTTATATTTTAGAAGGTGGAAGACCTGGATGCTTCATACTTTGTACATAGATGCCTCATGTTACGAAGTTTCTGTCAGTCACATGTCCAATGTCCTTGACCTCATTTTCATGGTTCATCGACTTCTTGAAAAAAAAGTTCAGATTTTTTGGAATGTTAAATTATCTCTTATTATAAGTAATAGGATAACTATATTTGGTATGTGCGTACCTTGCAAGGTCCTCATGCCCGTCAGACAGTTTTCACTTGACCTCGACCTCATTTCATGGATCAGTGAACAAGGTTAAGTTTTGGTGGTCAAGTCCATATCTCAGATACTAGAAACAATAGGTCTAGCATAATCGGTGGATGGAAGGACTGTAAGGTGTACATGTCCAACTGGCAGGTGTCATCTGAGCTTGACCTCATTTTCATGGTTCAGTGGTTATAGTTAAGTTTTTGTGATTTGGTCTGTTTTTCTTATACTGTATGCAATAGGTCTACTATATTTGGTGTATGGAATGATTGTAAGGTGTACATGTCTAGCTGGCAGGTGTCTTCTGACCTTGACCTCATTTTCATTGTTCAGTGGTCAATGTTAAATTTTTGAGTTTTGGTCTTTTTTCTAATACTATATGCAATAGGTCAACTATATTTGGTGTATGGAAATATTTTATGATGTACTAGTACATGTCGGTCTGGCCGGTTTTATTTGACCTTGACCTCATTTTCACGGTTCATAGCTCAGTGTTAAGTTTTTGTGTTTTGGTCTGTTTTTCTATTACTACAAGCAATAGGTCAACTATATTTGTTGTATGGAAGGATTGCAAGCTGTACATGTTTGCCTGGCATGGTTCATCTGACCTTGACCTCATTTTCATGGTTCATTAGTCAATGTTTAGTTTTCTTGGTTAAGTCTGTATCTTAGAAACTATAAGCAATAGGTCAACTATATTTAGTGTATTGAATGATTGTAAGGTGCACATGTATTTCTTGTTTGGTTTATATGACCTTGACCTCATTTTCTTGGATCATGTTAAGTTTATGTGATAGTTGTAGTAAAGCTTTATATTTAGAACTATCAACATAATATCAATGATTAGTAAAGAAGGCGAGACATTTCAGCGTGTGCACTCTTGTTGACTAATGTTCATGTTTTTTTGTAAAAACAAGTAGTTATAGTATGATTACCGATGAGACAACTATCCACCACAGACCGAAGGACGAGGATGCAAACAACTAAAACTAACGGCCTCCAACCTATACCGTGAAACAATTCAACAGAGAATACCAACGGTCAATAATAACAACCTATACCGTGAAACAATTCAACAGAGAATACCAACAGTCAATAATAAAAGAAAAACAAACATTATGACAAATAACAACCGACGATAACGAATTTCGCCGTTTCAGAATTTAATGCATTCTGGGTAATATTCTCAAAAGTGTACACCAAAATGTTGTGATTGGTTAAAAATGTACTAAACAATTGACATTCAACCAATGACCTGACGTTATTTTAATTTTGGGGGTACGAACAATGAAATTATCCATGGTCCTTTAGATTCTGAAACGGCCGATTGATAACAAGCACATTAAGAATGTAACGGGGGTTAAACATGCATGTTCGTGAGCGCTAAACCTCCCTTTGTTTACATAAGAAGAAATGATAATTTTAACAAATTTTTTCGTGGAAAATGGTGTAGTGATTTCGAACAAATTTCAATAGCCAGTTGTAGTGATACAGGCGCGGATCGAGCCATTTTGAAAAGGGGAGTTCCAACCCCACAGAACACCATGAAACGTTCACATAATTTTGAAAATAAAAAAGAGGGTTGGAACCCCCCGGAGCACCCCCTGGATCCGCCAATGGTGATAGATGTGGGAGAAGGAAACTAATCTATAAAAAATATAAAGGTAGGATTATGGTCTACAGTCTGCTTTGAAGCAATACTTTTGCGCGGTAATGCAACTGCATACAAATATAGGTTGTCATTCCTTGTCAAAATAGTTGCGTTTTTGATTTTGATGAAAACTTCTTGTTGACGACGACACCGCCTCCACAAAACATAACACATGTTTGAATATAGCGGGATATAATGAACCCGAAATCAAAAGAGGCACCCGATTGAAAAGAATTTCAGATATGACAGGAAATCTTATAAATGGGTGTCTTAAAGGGGCATTAGCTGTCAAATTCATGTTCACCGATTTGACTCAAATTCTCATATTTGATTTATAACATACTAAAACGTATATCTAAATAATAAAAAGTCTAAAATAAACAATTTACGATGCACGGGCTCGATGATATGCATAAGCATTTCGTGTGTATTTTAGTCTAGACGCCATCTAATTAACCATCGAGATGACCTCCGAAGATTGCCGACGGTCATATAACCCGATATAAACATAAACATAGATACACATAGATAGCGTACTCGTGCAATTGGATTTTTCTAGGTCTGTTTGATTTCATATTATAGGTTTAAAAAATATTTAATAATCGTTTTTACCTGTATTAGAATGATTTTTTGTAGATCGAATCAGTCAATCAAATGGTTTAACCTCGTTTCACTTCCAATGTTGATATTGTTTTCTTTTTGATAGCTGAACACGCCTAGTTCATGTGTAACTCATCTCTATCTAAGAGGTTAAATTGAAGTTCAAATGAATACGGATTTAATGAGGTCGAATTATTCACTTGCAAGTGAATAATTCATTAGCGATGTGTCTTTGCTTATTTTGACAAAACTGTACCAAACTGGCTGCTAAAAGCGAATTATCATATCACTATTTCACTTTCATCAATGATTGAACAAAAAAAATCATATCTTATTTTTTTTCTATATCTCGTAGCTAATGCCCCTTTAAATATTATCTTTTTTAGTCTTGCTCTTTTGTCGATGTTTTTTTTTTCATGCGTTCCAAACGTTCAAATGTTTCAAAGACGTTCAGAATTCATCGAGAAAAAGGAAAACGCGGTCTCGCCATTGAAACCGTCACGTGTATCTGGGTGCTGGGCAATATCTCCGTTTTCCGTAGATTCTAGGTTAGAGTTTGGGCGATTCATCAGTAATTTAGTATCATAAATAGTTCATGACAGGGAAATACTCCCAAGTGTAATTTTATCAGTTTCCGATGAGACTTGTCCAACTCGAGGGTGATAGGAATTTTACTTTCGGGTGTCTAGGATTTTAAAGTCTTGCATTCCTGCCAGTGTTTTAATACTATTATCACGCAATAACGTACCAATGATTAAAAAACGTACAAATATCGCGAAAAATGGTACATGCAAAAGGTTGTGTAAAGGAATAAAATCATTTAAGTCAATAGCAAACGCAATTGTTAAAAACAGGATGAGAAAAAAAATATTTATGAACATTGACTTAACTTTGTCAGGTAAATTTTATTCATTAGATACAAATAACATTTTGCTCTGTATTTTACATTCTTATGGATGACTCTCCTGAGGCCACTTCAGTAAATTTAGTATACCGTTCTGACCACGGGATTTGGGATATTTTCCGTAAATTTCTAGCTTGCATTTCTGATTTCCCGCCTTCCATCCAATTAACCGCGAAGTTGTCTCTGGAATACTTGTGGTTCGCTTCAGATGGTGTAGTATAGGTGGTAACTTTAGGTCCGCGGTTGTTTTGTTCATGTATGATGGTCGTGTTTTCAAATTTGGACCAAGTAGATCAACGGTGAGCTAAAACATCCATTTAAAGTTCAATTAAAAAGCATATTTTCAGTATAAATTATATAGTGGATGTCTTTTGTCTGTCGATTATAATACACAATGTTTATCTATATAAAAATAAGAAGATGTGGTATGATTGCCAATGAGACAACTCTCCACAAGAGACCAAATGACACAGAAATTAACAACTATAGGTCGCCGTACGGCCTTCAACAATGAGCAAAACCCATACCGCATATATGCATTTTCTTGACATCATATTCCATTTCAATTCTTCTGAGAATTACTGCCAAAATTTTTGAGGGTGTACTTTGTTCTTATAATCAAAAGTTCCTTGTTTGTTAGCTACATCATGGATTCTTTATCATATAATGTATAGTAAATATAGTGAAACAGTCTTTCAGCATTAATTTATTGTAGGTATTAAACACAGTTGGTGTAAATTTCATTGTCCACCTAGCAAACTTAACCATATTGGGTTTTTTTCAAAAAAGACATGCTATAAATATCTTTTTCAAGTTAGATTGGTACATCAACATGTATAAGAAGCTTTGATAAAAACAACAACTAAAAAAGTAGTCATATGTTTCTGTTTTAAGTAAGCATGAGACCAAAATTATCTTCAAATGAATAAATATGGGTTATACTCTGTGTTACTATATACTTCACAACAGCCAGGCTTTCGTGCAAAGTAATTACAATATAGAAATAAGATGTGATATGATTCAAATTGAGACACCTCTCAATCAGAGATCAAATGACGTAGAAGTTAAGATAGCAACTATAGGTCACCGTACGGCATTCAACAATGAGCAAAAAACCCATACCGCATAGCAAGCTATAAAAGGCCCCGAAATGACAAACGTAAAACAATTCAAACGAGAAAAATAACGGTCTGATATATGTACAAAACAATGAACGAAAAACAAACATAATACAAAGCACAAAAAAACTAACTAAAACACAAAGTACAGATCTGAGAGTACTCACAGCTAGTTCAAAGACCTACAAGTAAGTCTACCTGAATTTGATGCTTTGCATAAAAAAAAAAATTCCCGTAGCCGTTCATGGTATTACGTAGAAAACTAAGATTGATCTGAACTGTATGACTAACATTTGTTTTTATACGACCGCAAACATTTTTTTGGGATCGTATAATGGTATGATGTCGTCGTCGTCGTCTGCGTCGTCGTCCGAAGACACATTGGTTTCCGGACAATAACTTTAGTTTAAGTTAATGGATCTCTATGAAATTTTTTAAGAAGGTTTAATACCACAAAAGGAAGGTTGGGATTGATTTGGGGATGATGGTCCCAACCGTTTAGGAATTAGGGGCCCAAAAGGGGCCCAAAACAAGCATTTTTCTAGTTTCAGGATAATAACTTGTGTATAAGTATTTCGATTGCTCTGAAATTGTACCACAATGTTTAATACCACAAGTAGAAAATTGGGATTCATTTTAGGGGTTATGGGGCCAACAGTTTCGGAATTAAGGGCCAAAAAGTGGCCAAAAATAAGCATTTTTCTAGTTTCCAGACCATAACTTGTGTGTAAGTGTATGGATCTCTCTGTTATTGTACCACAAGGTTTCATATAATAAAGGGAAGGCTGTGATTGAGTTTGGGGTTAATTGCCCCAAACATGTAGGAATCAGGGGCCAAATACAAGCATTTTTCTAGTTTCCAGACAATAACTTGTGTTTAAGTGTATGGATCTCTCTGAAATTGTACTACAATGTTCCATACTACGAAAGGAAAGGCTGGGATTGAGTTGTGGGGTTATTGCTCGAAGGGGGGTTTCAAAAAATTGGGGGAGGGATTTTTTTTCCAATTTTTTTTAAGGGATTCATATTTTTTTTCAAAATTTTTCAAATTTCGAATTTTTGAAAAGTTTCAAGAAGAAATCTTCAATCGACAGTATTACGCAATATATTTGTAAGATCTTTGACCACATTTATTTTGTGTCAGAAACCTATATTATGTCATAAATTTGATCACAATCCAAATTCAGACAGTATCAAGCTTGAATATTGTGTCCAAATTTGCCCAAACTGTTCAGGGTTCGACCTCTGTGGTCGTATCAGGCTGCGCTCAGCGAAGCATTTTATTTACATTGATGTAAATGACATAAAAATATGAAAGCACAAAAATGGACATGGGTTTTGCTCCTTGTTGAAGGCCGTACAGTGAGCTTTAGTTGTTAACTTCTATGCCATTTGGTCTCTGGTGGAGAGTTGTCTCATTAGTCATACCACATCTTCTTATTTGAAGGCGTAAATCTTAAACCGAAAAAGCAGCAAAGCCAACCTTTGAACTTGGCCTATAATAGGAGATCTTAAGCATGGTCTATAAACGTTGGTTTTATTGTCGAAATTGATTTTTACATGGCGACGCGTTACAACTTGTATTTATCATAATTTTCTTAAATGTTAAAAAAGGGTTTTTTTTCGGTTTCCCATTTTCGAGGGGTTTTGAATAGTGTAAATCGCATTAAGTTTGTATTTTTCGGTCAATAGTATTTGTGCTAAAGTAGATGATTCTGATTAGAATAGAAGGTAGCTTATTTTTTCCGATTGATTGAAAGATGGTAAAGAGTTGACTATAAGCTGCTGAAAGATTATCTGAGACTCTGAAATCGTTGTATAAACAATGCAAGTTATTAAAAGACACAATTTAGACTTCAACTAGCGTCTTTTTCGTTTTTTTATGTTTTTTTTTTTTTTTTTTTTTGTTAGTAGTACTTACAGAGTTATATTCGTCCACTAAATATCCCCATTTGTCTGGCCATTTACATCTCTGGGAAAGAAATTCGTGTCGGACATGGTCCTTCCTGTTAAAAACCAAGTAAACCAGACTGCTAATTTGATTCAGAATTTTAAATTAAATCTATTCAACTTTATCAAATTAAAAAACGAAAGAAGATATCAAGGTGAGTTCAAAAGTCATAAGTCGAAGAGAAAGACAGACGACACTATGGTCTTGAGAGTAAAAACTACTATAAAAAGGAGCTATATATCGGAAAAACACAACCCCACACAAGCAAAACAAAAAAAAACGAAATAAAGCAAAACAAAACAAAAAAACTTTAAAAAACAATAACAAAAAACGGGTGGCTAATAATGCTTACGAATAAAACACTGCATGGCTGAGGATGAAATACTCAGCGATTCTCTCGTGCATTTATTCCTGTTTCTAAAGACAGTACATACATTTTATATTCCGAGAAGAGATAGGCGTATACCAAATTACAAAGACGGGGATTACCCATTCAGTACATTTTGACTGTTGATATAGCAAGTTTGCAGTATAGATATATCTATATTCCGAGATAATGCATTGCTATTTCATATATCATGACCGCTTAACCATAATGCAATACAAAGCCACAACATCTGTAGTGTGAACATCAACAATGTTTAACTCATTATCTTGTCTGCTCCTAATTATCACGCAGGCTACATCTATGTTTGTTACTACTGATATGTATAATGATACGATAATGGATTGTTATGTAACAACTGTTGCTAATTATGTAATACGCTATACCGAACTTAAGTTTGACTTTTTCTTTTTTTTTTTTTTGTGAAACTGCGTTCCATTCCGACATGATAGAATTGTACTTTTCGTTCACATTATCAAACAAATCGTTTGCAAGAATTGATAAAGAAAAAAATAAAATGCCGAAACACCAGACAAGCTGAGAAAACTCACCAAATTTCGTCATTATGAACAAAATTAAGATTTGAAAGTGGTTTTTTGGCCTGTTGTTGTCCCGCCATGAACTGCTGCTGTTCTGCCTTCAGAAAATAGAGTTCTGTGTCCACAAGCAACGGTTATGACGTCAGCGTTATGGGACGTCAATGATATATCGGTGTGAGCTTACAACGTTCTACGGGACAAACCATATTGAATAATGTATGAAAACGTATTTGGATTCTTGAATAAAATTTCAAGGTATAGCATCAATATGAAATAGCAATAACTATTTGGAACGACACTTGCGTGAACAACAGTATGTGTGCGTCTTTATAAACCGTATTAAAATAAACGCGTTTGTAATGGGGGTTCATTAGATAACAGTCCCTTAAGGGCATACGATACAGTTTTGATCCCACGGTGATATTTTTACGAAAATTTGCATACAAGCTATTTTTCACCTAGTCAATTCAAATATGTAATAAAAAATATACCTTCATGTGCTACTTTAAGAGATAAATAGGGTCATAATTTTAGACATTTACTCAAAATTTCAGTTTTTTTTACATTTCTATTCTTTGGATAGACATACCCAACTTTTTTGTTTCTAAAGATAAACAAAAGCGGATTTTTGTAACAACATTTGGAAAATCCTCTTTACATAAGTATGCCCTAAATTTGTATAACAATTCTTTGGAAATAATTCATTTTTATCAAAGTTTCATGATTTTAGAAAAAAACGGCAATTTTTGCTGTATATTTATCGAATTTAAAAAAATTTCATCGGTGACTTTTTCATAAAAATTGGTACAAATAATCTTCATACGGAATCAAACCTAATGTCATTTTAAAAAAGAGGGGTGCATGAACTTGTTTTCAAGTTAAATCAGTCTGAATGATAAAAATTAGTCGAAAAATGCATCTTTTCCCCATTTGTCAAAGTTTGACGTCGCGAAAATAACATTTTACGTTAGCAACGTCATTACCTCCCCTGTAACTGTATCGTATGCCCTTATTGTCTTGACATACTAGTATTACTTTCTTTTATTGAAAATCAAATATGTTTTCGTTCATTCGGTGGTCATTTTTATATCTGTATTAAATATAACCAGACAGAAACGAAATAAACTAACTTGAAAAGCTATATACTAATGAAATATTAATGTTCAGAATGTGTTCTGATGTACATTCTCAAAGCTTTTTCAATTTGTTAAACTAACCATTCTATACTAAAACGTAACACTTCATACAACCTAATTTCAAGGTTTGTGCAAAAATACGATCGAGACAAGTAGTAAAACACAAGTAAATCACCCCAAATGAACACAGAACAAGTCTATTCGTTTAGTAATAAGGTTTTTAGGTTCATTATTTAATTATTGTCTTATTAATTTGACGGTTTATGCATTAACTTACACGGTAATATGTCTTGTAAATGTAATACAATTTGTAGAATACAGTGGTTTCTAATCGAATGAGATTTCATTAGAATTCATCAATATCATCAATTCCCATCGTTACGATACGTTCTGAACGAACATACTCTGGTTAATTGTCTTTTTGCAATTGTACCTCGGAGAACGTGTCATGTGATTCGTTTCGTTTAATTACAATTAACGAAATCCACTGATAATAGAAATCGTACTTGGAATAGAACTTAATCTGTTGTCTGGCGATGGATATATACATTGATCGTATGACTGTGGTCCAAATTCCCACGACGCAAGTTTGAATGACACAGCTTCACTTGTAATGACGTGAATGTCATTTCTGAAGTGACATAAAAAACCACAAACTGAGTTTTTTTCTCTATTTTATTTAAGTCGGACATTGTAGGAAGCAAAATGGTACTTTAATGAAAAATATGATTCACTGAAAATTTATTTTTGACAACAAGTTACGATTCTACGGAAGCTATTAACATTGCACTGGAAAGTCTTTTTAAAGATCAAAGCTTGACGTAACAGACGATTGGAAAACCGAATACGTGTCATATTTGTGCAGTTAAATATATTCTTTGACTTTTTCTTGAAATGGTGATACTTGCACAGCCATAATGATGAAGCAAATCGAAAGATAATATCCGAAATACATATGTATTTGTTTGATTGATTAGTTGAAAGAAGTATCTACATTTTTTGGGGTAAAAAATATAAATAATTGTTTTGCCAGGATCTGATTAGAGAAATATTTTAACACAAAAAAGTAGATAACGTGAGAAAGGAAATATACCGTAATGATAAAATCAAAAACGGCAAATAAATAATAAAGTTGTACATGCAACATATGTTTTATCTGAATGAAATGATTGATAAACAGAAACTTTGCTATATCTTCTATTATCTGGATCTAGAAAAGATCGATTGTTTATCATTCCCATCAATTATCTTAAACAAAACAATACGAACACATTTTACATTTTTGTTTCTGCACTTAGAATGTTCTACTTAAAGAAAAGAAAGATAGAGTTTGAAGTCAACGGCTCATCCTTTTATGAAGTTTAACGGACGTACTTTTGTATATTGTTTATTGTTTCAAGAGCATCAGAAAAGCAACGAGTCTGTCATACATTCACCAGGATTATGTAAACATACTTAAACTTATTAGTTTTTGGATAATTTTTAATAAAAAAAATCATTTTCTGGTGTAACTGAATCGCTTCTTTCTTGTGATTTCGTATCATATTTACATCTCTTATATTGAATGTCAACTTGTACAAAGATTGGGCTAATAAAACTTGATGACATATATAGGAAAATCCCGCAGTGTTTAATGAGAAAACGACAACAACAGTAAACAGAAATTGATATTCCATATTGGTATTTGTGTATGCAATAATCCCGAGTCAATACTAATAAAGGGATACTGGTAATCATAGCAAGTTTATTCAAAGGTAAGCAGCCACGTTTAATTTTGTATTTAGTAAATTATCAATTAACAAAGTATAATAAGTTAACTTTACAACTATTTATTCTAACAAAATTAGTTTAATCCAGTTTTGAAAACATGTTATATACCATGTTTGCTCGTTAGGAATATGTCTATTGAAGCTGCAGACATGTTTACAAGAACTCAAAACTATCCGCATTGCAGACATTCTGTAGTCAGTTGTATTGATAAACACTGATAAGACGGAGGGAAAAAGAATTTGTAAATCAAACAATTAAATTCCACACCAAGATTTTTAGCTTCATGACCTCGTGAGAAAAGAGAGACAGATGCCCTGAATAAAAACAATATTTATATCTTCATGTAACAGCAAGACAATTCATCAAGAAATTACTAGCTTTTCCATACACACGTGCAGTATAGCTAAGAACTGAAAACTGTTATGTTAGTCTACACAATTCTGGAGCTTTCTTGAATAGTTTAACATTTGCCATTTGTTCTTTTTAACTTCGAACTTTGCTTAGACTGATATTTATTGATGATTTTAAATGATCACTTTTCGATTGTTTCGTAGTGGTGTGTAGCTGACTCAGTGGCAATCAATATTTATTTTTGCATTATTAAACTCCGAAATTATTTTCATTTTTATTTTTCGTGTTTTTTAATAGTCTGTTTGTTGTATCAGCTCTGTCTCTTCAGGAATTGAAGCAATTTTACACGAAAAATTACACAGAACTTTTTTTTTGTTTCTTGTCTGTCATATTTGAATTTTGTAAGAACTGCTAAAAAAAGCCAATGTTGAATCAAAAATTCCTAAGATGGAGTTAAGGTGAAAACAAGGCAAGACGTTCCGAAACACAAGTACGAGTTTAAGTGTAATATCATACATTTTACTGTTATTTTCAATTATACTGTAGTAGCGGTGTTTCCCATGACCACCCTCCGTTCGCTATGCTAAAATAATGAAAACAACACGATATAAATTTCGTGCATCCGAAGCGCTTTCCTGGACTTACCTTCATCAGGAACGCTGAAAGCCGAATATTTGAAAGCCAAGGACGTATAAGAACCGAAACAGTTGAAGAGCTATATAACCAAAAAGGACCTAAAAAAAGCCAAATCCATCTATGATCAACTTTGCCTGAGGGAGTTGAAACCTTAGTTTCTAAAAATTTCAAAATTTATTAACGGACAATTTTTAGAAAGGTTTTTTACTGACTACTGGGCTGATGATACCCTCTGGGACTGATAGTCCACCAGCAGAGGTATCGACCCAGTGCTGTAAAAAATGAAAGCAACACGATATAAATGTCATGCGTCCGAAGCGCTTTTCTGGATTTACCTTCATCAGAAACGCTCAAAGCCGTAAAGTAGTACTTAGTTTGTAGAGCGGTTGCTTTCAGGGCCAGAGGTCATAGCCTCTGTCTCCCAGCTTTTATATTGGTAATTAAGTACAAAAACTAAAATTGTTACATTTGGCGCTATAGCTTAAAAACCGACGGTGAAAATCAAAGATTAAACGACTTTAGACTTTTGATGTTGGATATCGTCTTAAGTGAGATACACTTGAGATGGGATAAGTGTTGCGGTGCTTCCCTTGACCTATAGTAGATATATAACAGTTCTCCATAGTACCTCTTTAGCTAAGTCGGTAGAGTTGTAGCATACTGTGCCAGGGGTCCATGGTTCTACCCCAGCTGACTAAGTGGTATATTTGGATGAAACTCTACTGTAACCGTGGTAACAATATAATTTGTTTATCCACTGGTCGAGGTATTTAAGAACTCATACACACGTTTATTTGCCCGTCTGTTTTTAGCATAACCTTCGCTTTTGTCCTACTATAATAAAAACTAAGAGAGGCATCGACATTCTAATGTCAGTCTAGCAGTTGGAAGGACAAAACCAGTTGAGATAACACATCATAACCAATCTCCTTGTTTTTATATGGATTTCTAAAATATTTTTTATACATCAGTTTCGACATAAACATCGTCTTTTTATGTAGTTCTTAACAATAATCAGTGCCTTGAGGGAGAACATTAGACGAATTAGGTAGACCATGCCCACACAATAGTCATTCATCTACATAAAACCAATAACGCAATGATTAAAATCTAGGATGACCTACTCAAGAAGAAGGGAAGTTACAAATGGCCTAGATCGAAATTTCAATCTTCGGTCTTCATACGCTACACATCAAAAGAAACACAGTTTACATGGACACGAGCTACAATAAACGGGCATTTGCTATACTTTTCCTATTTGTGACAAATGAACAGTAAACAGGCGATGTTACAAACCACACATTTTTCTTTAAAATCTATAATTATTTTGCCAAAAATATATTGGTGTACATATTTTTCAAAATGGAGTTATAGATGTAAATAAGACGTCGAAAGGTACGTAGTATAGAGATTCTGTAAAGCCGTAAGACGTAATTTTGGACTTTCTGATTACACAACAATAGAACGACAAGATGTGTATCCATAAATCTCGTGTCAAATAAAAGTCTAACATAATATTATGTACATAAATAAATAAATGAATGAAAAATACGGATAATCGTATTAGTATAAAGGCTAAGTTTCACGAGGGTCTACAAAATAAGTCAAGTTTACGTAAGGTATAAGACATTAGTTGAATTAAAAGTACATCATAAACTAAAACTTATACGCCCTCGTTTTATCATTTACAGTAAATACTTCAATATCCCACCAAAATATTCATAGACTTCTCTTTAACAAAAAGTTTTAACATTTATCTGTAAAATATTTTAGTGCTTTGCAATCTTTTTCTTCTAAAGCGAATTATTGCATTTGTGTACCAGATTACATTAATGATTGATTGAATGTTGGTTGCTTAACGTCCAGTGGCAAATATTGCATGTATGTTCAGGACCAGAACACCAGAACAAATTAACAATAAAAATGATAGATAGGTCCTGTAATAGAGGCCGTCCGGGATGAAGTCAGTATGTTGGATAGGGACAGAAATTTAGCCTTGCAACAGGCCACCTACGCACCCCTCAAAGAGTTGTTGCAAGGGTTCTTAACATGCAAAGAGCGTGGCACTCTCTTTATACGAGGCATCGGATTTAACGTCCCCATCCTGTACAGCCAAACGGACGTCCCAATTTGGCGAGGGTTTTCACAGACATGGAAACAAAGACAAACAATGGTGACGAACAACACATGGTCCAGATAAAGTTTTGACATTTTTTGAACGAATTTACATAGAGATTTTATTTTTCTAATTCGGGAAATGCCAAGCCATTTAAAGATTTGAATAAAGCACATTTTTACAAATTTCCATTTAAGGTTAATGACCCCTTCTCTAGGCCTGTGTATTACTAAATATTCAAAGTTCTACAATATTAAAAGTAAAAAACCAGAATAAATGTGACCTGCCATTTTGTACATATATCAAAGGGAAACGTTGTTCAAAGCAAAACGGTTAAATATTTCATTGAATTTAAGGATGTTCGCTCCTCTGTTTCAAAATGACTAGCTTTTTAAAAGACTGTTATAAATTAGTAGTATATAACTTAAAAAGGAGAAAAAAATGATAGGTCCGTGTTCTTGTTTTTAAGATATAAGCAATTGCAAATTTGGCGGGAAATGATTCTCTCTAGATTTTTCATACATTTAACATTGGCTCCTTTTTTCTTTCAAAAACTATGCAAAAATAACAAAGATTTTATAAGATTTCCAAAAAATGGCTTTTTAAACTATTTGCAATGTAGTTATGAAAAGAAAAGTAGGGGTCAGTGGGCAAAATTTTTGATAGCACTACATGGATAAAATTAGAGGATTCCTAATATCTGACAAAAAGTCTTAAACAAGAGTAGCGAACAACCTTAATATAAAATGGAAATTTGGTGGCAAATAAAGCCAAGACCTATGCAAAAAAAAACCCACAGACTTTATTACAGAGATTTTCGTTATAAAATTGTAAGTATAGATTACTCACTTGTTTGTCCATGAAACAATGAATGTCTACAAAAAGTCCTAAACAAACTTTACAATCCAAAAAACCTCGTGCTTAGTCACTAAGGGAGCTACCATTTGATTTTTATGGGGGGTGGGGCTAGGATGAAATTTGAAAAAAATAGGCAGGACAGGAGTTTTGAGTAAAAAAAAAGGCAGGATGAGATTATTTGCAAAAAAAAAGGCAGAATGACAATTTATGTAAAAAAAAAGTCATGATAAACTAAAAAAAAAAGGCAGGACCAAATAGAATGAAAAATAAAAAGGCAGGACCGAATAGAGGGAAAAATAAAAAGGCAGGACAAAATTTTTCATCCTAGCCTGTAAGTGAACTGTATTGATTTACATGGACAATAGTGACAATAACTGGTGATTTAAACTGTGTACATTAGTGGACCATATCAAGTGAAACTCAACTGTTAGTTAATTTTATCATCTTCTGCATGGACGAAAAAAAGGGCACAGCAAAATCCAGTTAAATTTTAAATTTTCTAAAACACAAAATGCATTTGAATTTTATTTATCTAGAGCATGTGTAACATTGGTTTGATTCCGCCAGTGTACTTTATCCGGAGGAAGAAAATCCCCAGTGATTTTTATTCACCAACAAAAATTAATTAGGTTTTTCTATCCGGGTCCAGTGTAAAACATCCACCAGTCATTATAAGGTTCTAAAAAGGGTTTTTTTTGAAGGGGAAACATATTAAAATGTGTATTTGAAACTTGCATAAATGGTTTAAGTAAAAAGTGGAGAGTTTTCATCCAAGGAATGTTCACACTAGTGTTTTTAAACAAGGAATGATTTCACTAGTGATTTTGTACCGGAATGATTGCATTAGTTATTTTATACCGGGATTAATTACACTAGTGCTTTAGATCCATACATTGATGAAGTGATTAGTACTCATTTTCAACACACGATAACACAATAATGCTTATTAACGAATAAGATTTAAATAATTTTTCTATGCAAATCTTTAAAATTATACGCTTTTAAATTGTCACTGATTGTAATATTTATATTTATTGGATTGTCGAAGTTTTTCTGTGTATTTGCTTTTCGGTCGACTTCTTTAATTGAAACTTTATGTAAGAACAAATCTGCTCTTTAAATTTGGTTTATATCAAGTTCAATGTCCTGATCATTGATAAATTATTTTGAGTTATAAAAACATCTCCTCATCATCATCAATATTATTTATAATTACTAGATTGACTCAGATTAATTAAACTGGTTCCTTGAAAATCATTTTAATTTTAACCCATTTATTTATGTAAACAATAAACTGGTCTAATATAAACAAAACAACGATATCAAGATCGACGCTTTCACACTATTTACAACCAATATTCTCTAGTGAAAAACAGTTACCCGAAATAAATACACGGCGAAATGAAAGTACGCTTACACATGCTATGCCTTAAATTGTTTCCAGATACACAGGTTTGTCTGTACTCAGAGTAAATTTTGTGGTGAAAATGCAGCCATTTTAGCCAAAGGGTCCACATGAACCTTAATCAGAATCTTATACCAACCTTCATCAAACTACACATTGCTGATAGTTGTATTTTGACAGAGCTTTGCTAATTTAACATTGTTGTTTAAAATTCTCCTTTGAAGAACCTGGGGGCGAGTGGTTTTAGTAGTTAATAAACTCTGGGCACTCAGGCTTCCTCCACCAATAAAAACTGTCCATCAAGTGGTCCATCACGTATAACCAATTTTGATGAAATGACGTTAAAACGCAAAAAATCAATCAATTAATCGAGGGTCATTGGGATAAACTTGGAGCCGATTCGTATTTCAAAGAAAATACATTTGAACGCTTTTTACAGAGTAGTGGTTTGAAAGAACTCTTCTTTTAAAATCATGTCATGTATACCTTTTCATTATTTATAGTGGGAAACAGATGGTGTACTTTACTTCCCCCTCTGGATGTGGGATTTTCTCAATAAAATCAATTTTTTTCAACAAAAAGTAAATATGGGATTGGGTAAGTCTGTTAATGACCGACTGTAATACCTAATGAGACAATGTAATCAATACACAATCTATTACACAGGTACAGAATGGTATAATGATAAAGTAATGGAAAGAAATAAAGACTCATAACCAGGTAAGAAAGCTTTTCAGATTCGTTCTCTATACTTTCAGTTCTGTCCACCTAAAACCAAAATGATTTTTTTATTATGAACACACCTTAGATTAAGATGAATAGCATTTCTATGAAAAGTTTTGACGACTTATGTATCCGTGACATTAAGTTTAGTTTTAGTTACCTACTACATCGGTACAACTTCAATAGCCAATATTTCGGTACATATTTCTAGGACTCTGAACCGCGATGGTACTCCGAACCGCGATGGTCACGCTGAAGTGCGAAGGGTTTGACACTGAAGTGCGTTTTTGATCACGCTGAAGTGCGATGGTGGGATTGTGACGCTATCTTATTGATAGCTACGCCGAAGTCCGATGGTGGTATCGCTGAAGTGCGATGAATAACATAAATCAATAATTACATGTAAATGTTAAAGTTAACTGTTTGTTGGAAGTAGCTTTTCAGTTTTTTTTAAGGTAAAATATCGGGAGAATAACCTGTTTAACTTAAAACAGTCATGATAAATAGTCATTGTCTTTTCAGTCCTAACTGTAACGTTGTAGTGTACTTTGTAAATAGCTTCAGACAAAAAAGCAATTATTTATTATAGTTCATACAATCGTTTAGATATTGACCACTATAAACGCTACATAAAAGTTTATTTTCCTTTAAAACCAGTACTTATTGCAATGACTGAAAAACGTAGTAGTTATTTGAAATACAAATATTACTTGATTAGTAAGAACAGTGACAAAATACGCGGAGATTTTATACGGCTGTTGTGAATGAGAACAAGGAACAAGATAGTTTTTACTTCAACAGGAGAAAATATTGAATGTTTGTATTTACTGGTTTATACTAACTAATAAAAGAACAAAATCTTATAATAATTGGAATAATTAAACATCTGTAGATTTTAACTATAGCCATCACACGTCTTAGAGACCATCGCACATGCATCAGCGAAAGGACCATCGCACTTCGGCGAAGACCATCGCACTTCAGTGTCCCCATCGCATCTCCGAGTCCTACATATTTAGATTCTACATTGCATATATATTAAATTTTCAGTGTCTGTTCTAAAACTAATGTTGGTGCTCTGCTCGACCGTTTTGTTTTGTTTTTTTGATCTCCCTAAAGTTTTTATAATTTTGATTCATAAACTTTCAGCCTTAAGCGTACTCTATATAAGAGTTAACCCAGAGGCACGTATCCTGTGCAAATGAATTAGTTTTAGTGGAGTAAGAGTTTAACGGACCGACATACCTCACAACTGAAAATCCACATGAGAATATCTAGTAAACATTACATCCATCTCACGGTCTGTCAAAGTGTATTAAATTTCTTACATATATCACCCCGTAGTCTATTTGACAAGAAATAGTGGAAAACCCAATACTTAAGAAGTATTAATATATCAAAGTTTGACAGATCATAAATACTTTTACAAGCAGTTTTACAATTCAATTTTCACCTCAATAAGTCAAGTTGCGCTTCCCTTTCCTATTTTCCTGACTTATGATTTGTGTTTTTCACAATGAATATTAAATGTGCATTTTCATATTTTTTGTAAATAAGAATATAGATTTGTTTCAATGTTTGTGTCTAGATGTTTGACTTAGTACAGTTGTTAAGGTTTAATAACTTTTGATGTGTTTTTACTTTCTTGTTGAGTTTTTCGAATAGACTAATTTTTAACCACATTGAAACACATCCGAATTAATCCGGAAATGATGGGCAATCCTGATTCCATTAAATAAGAACAATAAAGTATCATAGGTCGTGTTATAAAGCCAATACATGTAACAGAAGAATACATTTTTTGATTTATTTGAATTAAGGGAAAAACCAATGCTCAACAGCGTGTGCAAAACATTGCGCGGGTGAATCAACTTTCGTTAAAACACGCTCTATGGCATTATAATTAGTCTGGTCCAAATGCAGACAAAAGTCAGACAATGAGATAAGCAATTAAGGCATGTCGAGTCATAAACGTGCCTATTATATTTTTTAAATGCCGCAAATTACCAGTCCGACTATCCAGTGGTAAGTTTACTCTCTACAGTTTACTTCAAGGACAAGGCGCTGTGTCAATCAGCATGCATTGTTAACTACTTGCTGAAATGAAAAAAATGAACTTGATTCTGATGCTTCAAATCAGTTGGAGCTTGATGTTGCTTTGCGATAACTAACAGAAAGTCTACACGATGATCTGTTTGTGAAAAAAAGCATTTTCGTTGTCGTATAATTTGCTAGGTACATATTGTTTCTTTCTTCCAGACCCTTTATGATGCGGAAAAAATTGTGAAAAGCAGTTTACGATCGTTAGAAATTTCAAATTATTTCGTTCCATCTCCGTCAGAATTTAGTATTCCTATAGCTTTACAATTAATTCCTACCTCTCCGATCAATATTTTTGCATGGTTAGAAGAAGTTGACAATAATTTTCATATGGAGAATGATTGCAATGTGATACTGTACGGAAATGTATACCTTTATATGAGTGTGTGATATCCCTGCATTAAAAACCAGTACACCCCTGATCAGAGATGGTATAGGTAATGTTCAAAATCCCTGTGTAAAGAGATATAACAGTTATGGAGATTTGGCCAAGGACTACTTTAAAACCCTAATAACTTGTTTTGAAAACTTCGGGTGCGTCGTGGACGTTTTTGATCGGTATGATGTGGAACATTCTACAAAACCAGCAAAAGAATAAGAAGGTCTATTTCAAATGGTGGTACATATAAGGTTCTTCGGGTCATTGAAGGCAGATCAATTAGAGATTATAAGAAATTTCTTTGTGCACCCGAAAATAAACAGGTGGTTGACAAGATTTGTAGGTGACAATGAGCTCCTGCACTGCAACGATTTTGATTTGCAAGACCATGACGAAATATTCCTAGCGGGATCTTTTCAAAATCCAGAGACTGTGAAACAATTTTTTGCCGAATTTTTAAGTGACTGTAATCAGTTGTTCAGTATACACAGGAAGAGGCAGATAAAAGAAATTCTACCGTTTCTGTTTGCTAATGAACAGATACTAGTAATAAAAACGCTTATTGTTTACTTCTTTGTATAAGGTATTTTCCTCAGATGTCAAACACAATGAATTGAGGTTTAGATGAGTTTCTTCAACCAAAGATGCAAGACGGATTTTACCTGTTCGCGACATGTGTAAAGTTATTGGACCAGTAATGTCTGGCACACTACCAGCTGCTCAAGCTCTTACAGGATGCGACACGTCTTCTTTCTTCGGAATTGGCAAAAAATACAGTTTATAAGGCGTCAAAACAAAACCATTACATGTATCTAGCAGGTTCTAATATTGCCGCATCTGCTGTAGTGGAAAGTCAATTTATCGCGGATCTTTATAACCTCAGAATCAATATTCAATCTCAATAAATACCAGAGTGAAGTATGTGCTATCTAAGGACGCTTCCTTAGTGAGACTACCTCCTTCAGAGGCATCATTCAGACATTTCATGTTTTCTGCTGCTAGTGGCCTCCTACTTGATGTGGTTGGGGAGCGCTCTTCCTCTAAAAAAAAACAAAAAAACAAACAAACTGGCCAGTTGTCTCCGACCTTGACGCGGTGGTGCGCTTTCAAACCAACTAGACATATTTTTGTATCGAATATTTTGGAAGCATTACACATATTTTGTGCATTACCTTTTCAAATGGACGTGCATCTTGGTGTCTAAGTGTTAGTGTAACATATACCTAGACAGCTTCCTTTGTATCGTAATATATTTGTGCATCGTGTTTGATTGTTATTTACATACATATCGGGATTTAAAATCGGTTTTAGTCAAGTTTGCTATATATTCCATTGTTAGCGTTGTTTTATAAAAAGGGGGACACAAGTTTTCAATATGATATTGCTCTTGTACTGATTGACCTATTTACACAAATAAAGATCATATACTATCGTGTTCAGGCTGACATTCATGCATCAAGACTATTTTTTATAGTTCCAACATTCTTTTGGGTTAAAAAATCTATTAGAATTTCATCATTTTTTCATTGAATCTGGGACCGGGTGTTAACTTTACAGTACTTCTTTATGACATGTTAACAAAACTTCCATAAAAATGTCTGTATATATGCTGTTATATATTATTGCATCGCTAAATATTAGATATAAATATTTTTTGTCGATAATTTCCGTAGATAAATATATTTTTTTTCCATTTTCTTACATGTTGGAAGCGGGGGCATACATCACTAATATCTGGCAATCAGGCATACATATAATAAGCTGGATTTGTGCAACATTCCCAGAGCATGATTTCATAGATATTTTTCTCAGTTATCATGAGGGACCACCGAGAAATTGTCCAAAATGTCTATATGGCGATTTTTTTTTAAAAATACCCCCTTTTGACCTTTGACTAACATTTAAAAATATCTACACCACTTTGGCACTCTACGACATGCATTAATCAAAGGGTATAATTATTTATCTCCATAATAAGACCAAAATTAGCCGTTAGGTATTTCGGCCCATTAATTTTTTTAATTTACCTTATCTGTCACCGTACTATTTACCTTTCGCTTGTTTCACTTTATTGACTTGTCGTATAGTAGAGCAAAGGAATGTATATCAATACTGACTGACACTGAGATGTTCTGTCAAGTAGGTATTACCATCAATGGCCAGATCATATGAGAGTCTTCTTTGGGAAGGAAATGAATAAATATTCGCTATATATATGAACTAATGGTCGTAAAAACAGGATGACATGACTTTGTTATATTGAATATTGATTTGACAAATTACATGAGACATTTGTTTTGACAACAGTAATTTCTCGTCCTTTTAAGGTCCATGTGTAATCCTAATCATAGCAAATAAATGGCATGAAAAAGTAAAAGGTCATTGTGAATATCTATTTTTCGTGTAATGATATAAATCAACAAATAACTATGCAATTATGTTTTGTTTATTTATGCCCCCGCCGTTGCGCAGGGGGCATTAAGTTTTACCCTTGTCCGTCCGTACGTACGTACCGTAC